CCCTACCCTTATCTTATTTTTTGAAACAGTTTCCTCCTGGAGGCAGAGGAGGCTGGGATTTAAGACACACTCAGGTGCCTGAGTGGCCTGTCACCCTTTGACAGTCCTGGGAGCCAATCTCCCCCAACAGTCCTGGGAGCCGATCTCCCCCAAACTGTGTCTGCAGGAAGTGGGAGAGCGGGCTTGGGTGTGTGAAAGCTGTCAGAACCAAAATGGTGTCTCTTGTGCCAAGCTGCACCAAAAAATCTATGAGTGAAATAGGAAGGGAGGCTGGGAGGAAACGGTTCTCACGTACTGCAGACCGACACTGGCAGTCACCAAAGACATTCACGGCCACACACAAAGGCCACCTCAATCCGATACAAAAACACCCTCCTGCAGGGTTGCCGCCAGCTGCTCTGTTCAACTTCAGACTTCCCCTCATGGAGAATCATTAGCGCCAAGGACGACAGGCTCAGAATATTTTAGGTCATCCGCTTTACTGACTTCGTTTATTATTAATTTTTATTTGAGGGAGGGTTGAGACAGCATCTCACTATGCAGCTCAGCCTAGCCTTAAACTCACTTTGTAGCCCAGGCTGGTCTACTTGTAATAATCCTCCTGCCTCGGACTCCTCCGGAGTGCTGGGATTACAGGTATGCGCCACCACACCCGGCTGCTTAATTGCTTTTAAAAGTTTTCCTTGCCTGCACCTTTGAAGGTGATCCCCCTTTACTGTGTCTACACCCACTGCAGTGTCATTCCAGTCCATCCTTTGGAGACGCTCTCTCCGGTTAAGTCAAGAGGAGCAAGGTCTAAAGACATCTTCCTCGTCTAGCGCAGACTCAAGCCAGTCAGGGAGTCGCCCCCACTGCCCCACCTCTTGCTGCTTCTGTGGACACGGTGCAGTGGCAGCTCCTCCAGCCCATGAGGAACCACAGAGGCCCCCCAGCAGCCCCCCAGCAGCCCGGGGAGTGAGACCCACCCATCGGGTCCCTGCAGTCCCGCCTCCTGCTGGAGTCTCAACTCACTCCACTTTGCATAAGCTTAAAATCCAACAGTTACCAGAAGACCACTGCAACATCCGGTGGGTCGCTGTAGAGAGCCCATGCCGCGAATCGCGGCTTCAGAACCAAAACTCCTAGGGACCATTGGGTGAGGCCTGCTGCAGCCCTTGAAGCCTGCGCTAGATTACCCCTCCCACCGAGTGTGCCAAGATGGCGCTCATTTCCTGCTTCCGCAGTCGCTATACACCCGCCTATAATGATGTAAGATACCTTCCCTGAGATTGTAACCAATGGCGCTGTAACATGTATCAACCCTCGATTGGACAGTGTGAGGATATAAAAGAAACGCTCCCGCGACGCGGAGGGTCAGAGACAGGAAGAGGGACGGAGAGAGGAACTGTGCTCTCTCGGGGCGCATCACTCAGGAGAACGATTAAAGCCTTTCCGCCGCACAAATCGTGTTGAGTGCTTTCCTGCTGGACGGGAGGGCGCCCGACAGGTCGCAACTTGGCACACACACCTATGGCGAACTCTGCGTGCTGGAGCCGGTGCTTCCTGGCCTACAGGCCCCACGTAGCCACCCCGGGAGCCTGGCATGGTGTCTGGAGAAGAGGTGCATGGAGGGTCAGGACTGCACCAAGATCAGCCAAAAGCGTCTCCCAAAGGGCACATGTGCTCAAGGTGGGCTTTCGGGAGCTGGGCAGCCAGGGGGCACTGGGCCCATCCATGGATCAGCTCCCCAACAGCTCTGACAGACACTGAGCTGGGCAGTTAAGGAGCCACTTGGAAGCAGGATCTAGTTGGAGAAAGTAGTGCCTGAGGGTGCACCCTGGGGCCACGTGCCTTGTCCCCAGACCCTATGCCACTCTCTGCCTCTCTGTAGTCCCAGCCCACGGCCCTGGGCTGAGCAGCTCGGCTCCTCCACACCCTTCCACCATGATGCTCAGCTGGTGGACCATGGACCTGGCCAGTTCTCCAGACTCCAGGGCCTGTGGACAAGCTCAGCGCCTCGATCCTCCTCGTCCATCAATCCTGCAACCCCAGGACCTGCACTGTCAACCCGCAAGGCGGCAGCCAGGCTCAGCGTGACACTTTCTGGCCAGCCAGGAGCCTTGTGTCCCATGACCCAGCACAGAGATGGGCTCTCCTGTGCCTGGGACACAGTGCACAACGCCCACGACTGATGGGAAGATGAGCTTGCTCTGGCTCACAGCGGACAGAAGCAGACACAGCGCAGGAAGGAGGAGAAGCTAAGGCCTGGATGGTGCCCTCAGGGTCATGCCCGTGACCCCCTCGTCACGCTGTGCTCTCCTGATCTCCCAAGCCAACTAGGCTGACAGTCCAGACAGCATCGCTCCTAGCGTGCAGCTTCCTTCTGCAGCCTCCTCCACTGGGCCTGGCGCTCCAGCTCTGAGTGAGAAATCCAGCAAAAAATCCACCCACTCTATCTGCTATATGACACGGGAGACACCTGCCACAACCGGGGTCCCAGGAAGCGGTCACACCTGTCGAGCTCTGTCCTGTGTGACTGTGAAATGAAGACCACAGGACAGGATGGGGAGGGGGCCTTTTGGGGGCTGTGGGCGCCAAGCCTTGGTCTCTCCCAGCCCAGCTCCTGTCTGCCTGGCCTGGGAGCTGTGCTGGGGATGCTGAGCCCCTAAACACCCTGGCCGGGAGCACGGTACCAATGGACAGGAGTGGCTGGGACCTCGAGCACGCCTCTCCACTGAGGATGGGACCCGGGGACTGTGACCATGCTGTGCAGGCCCCAGGCCTCTCCTGCCCATGCCCAAAGTGGAGCCTCACCTTCACAGAAACGGCAGCTACTAAGCAAAGGCCTGGACCAGCCCAGGGTGGCAGCAGCCTCGGGAGAGAAAGGCAGCTTCGTCCACACATCCACATGTGGGTGTTCTGCACCCCACAGAGCTGGGGGTGGAGGGGTGGACATGGGCTGGGACACATCACAGTCCAGCTTGAAGCAAAGCTTCCGGAGGCTGACAGGCCTGCTGGACTCCTCAGAGCCCCAGGACCAGTGCCACTGAGCTTCGCCCCAGCACAAAATACAGCAAAGATGCCACTTACAGCTGACCAGGGCCAGGGCATCATCCACAGCCCGGACTAGGCACGGGGCCCCGGAGGTCCAGGCAGAGGCCAGCCTCACCCCCAGGTGCCAGGGGGAAACTCCGCAGGGTTTTCATGGCTCAGCAGGCGCCACATAAGAACACTCCACAGGGCGTGTCACTTGGCACGTCTGCAGGCTAGAAACAGAGGCCTGGAACCTGTATAAAGTTTAACTTGTTCCTCTGATCACCCACTCGGCAAGCACGCACTGAGCTCTGCTCCGGTGTGAGGACCTGCGCTCCTCCCTAACGCTCCAGGGTAACCTGACTCCCAGGGCCGGCATCAGGCCTAGAGTCCTCCAGAAGGGACGCCAGGGCTCCCTCTGCCCTCTAAGGACGCAGCAAGAACAAAGGCCACTGGACCAGGCTAGGGGCCACCGTGGGACGATCTCGCGGCTAGGAGGAGGGGCCTGGCTCAGGAGGCCGCCAGGGAGTGACTGGGAAGCTGTGCTTGGCCTGCAGCCCCTCCCCCACTCTGCTTCCAGGACTCCAAGTCCCAAGCAGCCCTCCTCTTTCTCCTCTGCCTTGCGGCCAGCTGACCCTGCACAACACTGAGCCCAAGTCCACTTCTCCTCCGGGAGTAGTGGGTGCTGGGTCTTCTGCCCAGCAGGGGAAGTGATCAGGACCAGGGCCCGCACCAAACACAGCCTGCCCTGGGCCTTCCTCCTGCAAAACTGTGAGAGGCCCGTGGCTGCTGCCTCTGCCACCCGCTGTGCTACCTCATTACCCAGCCAGCGGGTAGAGCATGCTCCAATCATTCAAGCACTCCGGGAGGTTGAGGCAGGAGGCCTGCAAGTCCTAGCCCTCCTGGACACCTCAGGAGTGAAAAGCATGCAGGGTCAGGATTGAGACTCAGCGCCAAGCCCCTAGGTCTAAGCCCCGGTACTGCGAGAGAGGACAGGCGACAGGCAGAGGGACCAAAGATCTCTCCTGTGTGCTTGCTTCAGCCTCCATCTTGCTGCCCCAGCTGCTCTGTGACTCCTGTCCCAGCTCCTCTTGGGGAAGTGACCCCAGAGGCGCCCGTCACTCCAGGCCAGGAGGGGGCTGCTGGTGCCAGCCTCTCCTACCATATCCACTGCCCTTTTGCCCCCTCAAATGTCACCAGCTAGTCAGGCACATGTACGCCTCCCGACACTCACAGAGGGCACCCTGGTGCTGCGGGCAACACAGTTGGGGTGCCTCCCGGGGCATGGGCGGGTCTGCAAGATGCTTCTCCCCAAAAGGTCTTCCGTCTGGAGGGAACCAAACCCCTACGCCCCAAGAGCAGGTCTGATGCTCACAAAGTGCTGCACTAGACAAGAGACCCCAGCTTAGAGGTCTGTCCATCTCCTTCCGCTGCCCCGGTCAGCAACAGGCCAACCCCTTTCCTGAGCGCAAAGCCACACATCGTAGCCCAGAAGGACAAGGACGTGTACAGCAGCAGATGTTAAATAACGCGGCTGCAGAGCCAGGCACCTGAACAAGTGAACACAAACAACGTCACAGTTCCGTGGCCTGCCATCACCAGAGGATGCTGTGACCACACGTGGCACCCAAGCACTCAGGAGGGCAGGGCAGCACAGGAGCTCAGCTGCAGCCCCCTGGACTGACCTTACCTGCCCACCTGCTACTCACTCTGGTTTGGCAAAAAGCCTGATTTAAATCCATCAAGCCTAGCTGGGCGTGGTGGTGCACACCTGTAATACCAGAATTTCAGGAGGCTGAGGCAGGAGGATCGAAAGTTAAAACCTAGCCTGGGCAATTTAGTAATTAAGCCAGATCCTGTCTCTATATAAGAGGGCTGGGAATATACCTCAGCGACACAGTACCTGCCTGGCAAGCACAAGGTCCAAAGTTCAATTCCTGGAACCAAAACCCAAAAGAAGGACCGGAGATGGAACCAGGAACACGCACCTTCACCATCCGTGCTCAGGTTCTCATAGGAATCCCAGCGGATCAGCGGGTCCGCAGTGTTGAAGTCCACGATGACGCTGCGGTCATTGTGCAGGTGCTCGGAGCCTGGGAACATAGTGCGGCGTTGATCCCAGCCAAGCCCGGTCCCCGGAGCCAAGGACAAAGCCATCAGCTTGAAAGCCTCCGCATCCTGCCCTCCTCCCTTGGCCTAGCGCAGGGCACAGCCTGGTCCTGTGTCCCCAGGGCCAGGAGGAGACCATGCCCTTCCTGCACAGTGCCACCCGGACTCCAGTGCCAGCTCTGCACAACAGGGGCCGATTCCCACTGGTTTTAGGAGAAAGCAGAAAGGGCTCCACACACGGACACCCACACTCTGCTGGCCTGGGTCCCCTTCAAATGCGGGGTTACTCGTGGACCACAGCAGTGAACAAGCAGCACTACTGCCCAGGAGATGGAGGTGAGACGTGCGGACACTAACACGGTCTCTGCTCTCCTCAGCAGGCCAGAACCCGAGCCGGCCACGCCATCCCTGCCACCACAAGCTAGTTTCGTTTGAGGTACAGCTCAAACTTGGGATCCTGCTGCCTCAGCCTCCCAGAGTGCTGGGATGACAGGCGTGCACCCCACATCTGGCCCTCTCTCCTGTGCACCAGCCCAGAGTATGCATGTCTCGGCCATCTCCTCCCTGATGTCCTCTTAGGAAAGTTGCCAAGGGTGCCTGAGGTGGGGGACACACCCAGCACCCCACGGGGCCACGCACCTGGGATCTTGTCTGGCGTGGCTGAGAACACCAACTCCACCTTCCCAGAGTCAGGGAAGCGATCATCTGCAAAGAGAAACCACAATGGAACGGGCTCGTCCTCCCAACCCACAGGGACTCCTGGGTCAGTGAGGGTGGGTCTGGCCACGTCTGGGGCGAGGGTGGGGCCTAAGGGCGCAGGCTGCCCTCACCACTGCAGGCACCGTCCAGTTCCTCCTTCCCCAGCACCAGCGAGTGGCCCTGCACCGCGCCAGTGTGGAACTGCAGGCGGAAGATGACATCGCGTGTGGCCGAGCGGTACTTCTTGTGGTAGCATTTCACCTGCCGGAGGGAGGGAGGGAGGTACGGGGACAGCTGAACCTTGCAGCCTGTGCCCCTGCAGACCCAGTGTGGCCCAGGTGGGGGCAGTGTGGCTCTGATCTGGACCCAGACCCCGACTCCGCGTGGGGGGGCTGGGGGGAGGGCACTCCATGTGGCGCATGAAAATTGCCAGCACCCTAGACTCTAGGGTCACCCCAACCCTCTCAGAGCTCAAGGTAGCTGTGCCCTTCCAGAAGTCTGAAGAAAGAAACCCCAGTCCTCTCTTCCTAGACTTAACTCCTGACTGCAGTACACTTGCTTTCTAGGTCTAAACTTTCCCCTTTCCCTTGGCCTAATAGCTCAATGGATTAAAGCACCTGCAGCAGGTGCAGGGGCCAGGGTTTGATCCCGGGGCCTGCCATGCTGGCCCCACCCCCAGGGCACACTGATGGCAATTGAGAGTGGGTGTGGTGGTGCACACCTGTAACCCCAGCTCTTGGGAGGCTGTAAACAGGCGGATCACTAGAGTCTGATCTAGTAGTAAGGCCCTGAAAACCCTGTAGACACTTCCCTAAAATAAAAAATAAAAATAAACTTCCCACTTTCCCACTCGGTGTCATCTGGCTTGCACAGAGAGGAAGTGGCCCCTGGTGGACTGGACAGAGGGACAGAGAGAGAGGGAAGGAGGGAGGGGACACGGCCCAAGGCCAGGACAGAGACAGAGAGGAACACTGTAGGGCACCCACTGCCCAGACATCCAAGAAGCGATGCCCTCCCAGCCACGCCACTGGGATCTGAACTCGGACTGCAAGGTGCCAGGGCTCCTGGGGTTCCTAGGGTGCTGCACAAGCTGCCGGCGGCTGTGGCCATAAGCCTGGTGAAGGTGCCACCTGGGGCAATGGCAGGGGTACCCTGCTGGGTCTCACCTCACTCAGCACACACTGGGACCAAGAGGGGAGGGGAGCTGCTTTTCCTGAGGTCAAACAGCTTTGAACATCTCAGCCAGGCTTGGTGACGTAGGCCTATAAACACAACCCTCAGGGAGGCTGAGGCAGGAGGATCATAAATTCAAACCCAGCCTAAACAATGTGGCAAGACATCTGTCTTACAATGAAACATTTGTTAAAATAAAGGGCTAGGAACAGAGTTCTGTGAAAAGGATCTGGGTTCAACCCCAGTACTTAAAAAAAAAAAAAAAAATCACATGCTTCCCAAATCTGTACAAGCAGCTGCAGCCGGGCAGGTGTGACACCGAGGGCGACACAGGACAGTGTACAGGTGACATCTCCATCATCGCTGAGAGAAACCTTCCCAAGGACGTCAAACAAAAGTACTTCCCACCCAGAATTTACAATTGCTAGACAGCGCCACCCATCAGCAGACGCACAGCTGTTTATGCCAACAGAAACTCGTGAAGTAAGGCCCTGGGGGAGAGGGCTCTGCACGCCCGGAGGACTACCAGGTTCGGGGGAGGAGCGGCAGAGGCGGTCAGGGCCTCCCCTCACTGGCCTGGCCTTGGTGCGCTGGCCCAGGTCGGCCCCACCTGCCTGAGAACCTCTGACTTGGGTCAGAGCCCAGCCCTCCCCTGATGATCCGAGGCTCACAGATGCCATGGGGTGCTTCTGCCAGGGATGATGGTGTGGCCCTCCAGGTCCCCCAAGAGCCCAGTCAGGCTGTCTGCCCACTCTGCGCCCACTTTCACAGCTTGGGCTATGCACAAGCACCGACATCAGCTGGGGATGTAGCTTGTGCCTCGGTTGGACCACCCCCTCGCGGCTCCGGCCCCACACAAGGTGTCCAGGGTGTCCAAGGTGTCTGGCTCCAGGTATCACGGGCTACGGGCCGCAGGATCTCCCTGGCTCAGCGCCGGGTCAGCACCCGTTGGTCAGCTCCTGTGGGTCGGGAGCACAGAGCTCACCCCACCCCAATCCTCCTCCTCCCGCACAGATCTGGCAGGCGACAGCGCCCCCTGCTGGTCTCCAGCTCTCATGGGAAAGACAGTGAAAGGGCAGTCAGACCTCCAAGAGAAAACCCAACGGAGTGGTGAACTCTGGTGGCTGCAGGGCCCCTAAGCCATCATCAGCAAGGGTCCCCCTCTAAGACATGAAGGTTCCTGAAGCACAGGGCCACTCTGAGGGCTGCAGTCCCCAATGGCCCTCAGGCGGCAGCCCCGCTTCTGCACACCCAGGGCCCTCCTGTGCAGCATCCTAGGACAAGCTGGTCCTCGGCCTTCCTCCCCAGAGAGCCTACAATCCAGCATGAGAAACTGCGACTTCATCGCGACAGACACTTCACCAGACCTGTGGCATGCACCTCACCTTCCACACAGGACCCTGTGGGTGGCCAGGGATGCCACGCACCACAAGTGCTCAGAGCATTCAGAGCCTTCACGTCCCGAGGGCAAGAGGCATTCCACTGCCAACCTCACTGTTTTGTTCAGCAGATTTCATGAGCACTGCAGAAAGATCCGGCGCACCGCCAGCTCTGCGCAGCGAGTCTCCACTCACAGCCAGTCCTGTGTGCCCACTCTGGACACGGCCTGATCCAGCCCTCCATGGGGAGAGATTTCGAGGATACAGAGCATCTGTTGGAACTGCATAAGGACCTTTTTCCTTGTCCTTACTGTCCAAACGATAAAGATTACAGCAGTTTTAGCAGAACCGGGGATTGATCCCAGAGCCTTCGAACGGAGCCACACCCCCTACCAGTTCTTTACGATTTTGAGATAGGCTATTGCTGGCTAAGGCATTGCCATTGGGCTCAAATTCGAGGTCCTCCTGCTTCAGCCTCCCACAGTGCTGGGTAACAACAGTGACTCAAAACATGTTGGGCATTAGCCATAACCCAGAGAGGTGTTAGGCCTGCAGGAGGGTGCCTGCACACAGACTCTGAAAATGCAAGGTCATTTTTTTTTTCTTTTTTTCTAATTTTATGTATTTGATACAGGGTCTCCCACGCAGCTCAGACTCGTAGTGATCCTCCTGTTTTCAGCCTCCCCAGCGCTGGGATTACAGGTGTGCGTCACATTGCCTGGTCTTGGTGGCAGGCTTGGCGTGCCTGACGTCTGGGCCAGCACAGCATGTGGTACCAGGGCTCAAACCTGGGTCCTTCGGCTTGCCTAGGCAGGCACTTAGTCTGCTGAGCTATCTCTGTGGCCTGCAAGGTCATTTTATGTGGCACATGAGATCCTGGGATTCGGGTGCCCGCACCGTGCTCTGCACGCTGAGAGGCGGCTACATCTGTCACTTCGGGGGCGCAAGCTGCTGTGCACAGGGCGCTCAGGACTGAAAAGTACTACATGACCAGTGACCTCCGCAGGAGGCCCGGGGCACCATGCTCTCTTGCTGGCTGACAGAACCACCTGGAAATGTGGCCTGACCTCAATTTCTATCAGCGGGGCGAAGTTTCGCCCATGCTTTTGGCAAGCCCAAAGTCCATGGTGACCAGGCCTGGGCCTGCGCTCAGCATGTGCGGCCCGGGTAGACCAGGGCTGAGGGCAGGCACAGGAAATCCTCAGCCTGTGCTGAAAGCTGGCTTGGACCACAGGCCTTCTACCTGCTCCAGCGATGTGGCTGTGTCATGCCGCAAGCCCCTCAGCAGGGAGCAGCCCCCAGGGCCAGCAGGTGGTGTCAGGCTCCGGGCACAATTCCAGCCACACTCGCCCTGCATTCAGCGTGGAAGGACCGGAAGAATACCCGGTCCATGTCTTCACCTAATGGCACGGTGCGGGTACAGCAGAGATGGGGCACAGGGCCTCTCCCAGGAAGACACACAGGCCCAAGCCTGCCTTCCAGGGCTCACCCCAACCAGCCCCGTGGACACAGGTCCTTCTGTTTGTGAACCTGAGCCCCGCTGGCCTTGTCCCCACGAAGAGCGAGCTGCAAATCTCTAGGCAAAGCAGACATTCGCCAGCATCAGCAAGGATGGGGTGGACCAGAGAGGACAGGAAACTCTGGAAGGAGCCGGGAAGGCCAGGGAGCCAGACTGGGGGTGAATCTCCACCTTACGGCAGCCTGCACACACAGCCACGGGAGATACCCGCTCCTCGGGGTGGATCAGCAGGCCGCTGTATCCTTGGGTCCTGTCCAAGCTGGGGATCCTGCCCAAGCCCTCCTGGGAAGCAGAACCACTTGCATGCTTGAGCTCAGCCCAGATGGGTCGTGACCCTTCCTTCCCAGCACAGCCTTCAGGACGGGCGCCAGGTGAGTTGGCTGCGCTCCAGGACCTGGACCTGCAGGAGCACGTCCAGTCGTCCAGGGACAGGGTGGAGTGGGTCGGGGCTACGGAGGAGGAGCCTGTGAGGACTCCATACTTTCACCCTTGGGGACCCTGGCATACTGCCCAAAGTGAGGCATCACTCTGGGGAGCCTGAAGCCAGGGGCACACTGGGTTCAGTTTCTGCCCGCGTTGACCTAAGGCTACATTCATGCAGAATAAAAAGCACTGGGCTTCTCAACACAATGAAGACTTCCAGGCTGGGTCAGACTGTGCCCCACGACCCAGGTGCTACCCCTGGGTGACCACCATCTCGAGCTCCTCCATGAAGCTGCAGTCCCTGACTGGCTGGACAGGTGACACCCTCCTGGGCTGGGCTGCGAGGGTGCTATCTACACACACCATAGCCCCAGCTCTGTTGGTCTGTGCGTGGCTCATACTCCATGCACCGAATCACCCGGTCCAGCCACCAGCTGGGGACAGCTGCCCCCAAGAATGCCGGTGGACAACCAGAGCCAAAGGCGCCCAGCCACCTTCAGGCCCAAGGGCCCGGATCATAGAACCGGGCTGCATCTGCAAACAAGGGTTTTTATGAAGGTGTTTTAGTTAAAATACAGCTGTTGGGGTCTGCGGCTGGGCCCTGGGCTTAATTCCCAGCACTCCAAAGAACAGATTTTAAAAGACCAGGCCAATCACATGAACTCTAAGCAGAATCCCTGGAAGAAGAAGGGCTCCAGTCTGACATTGTGAGGGACAACCCTGTGACCGAGGCGGACACAGAGATGCCGGGAGAAAGCAGCTCCCCAGCACCTGGACCTCGGCCTTCTGGCCTTTAGAGCATCAAAAGAAAAGCCCTGCGCCTTGCAGCACACAGCCTGGGGTACCCCGCTGCGCTCAGCCCTCCTGTGGGTGTCTGTCCAGCAACCCCCAAGCTCACCACTTTTGTGAGCCCAGCAAGGCAAACTCGCCCTCTGCAATGGAAAATCACCCTCCTGGGCTGCCACCCATCTGCAGACGGAGAGGGGCTGTGAGCAGACCAGGCAGCGTTCTCTAGGGGCTGCCTAACCTGGCACCTTCCGGCAAGCGCTGTCCTGCTCTGGAGCCACCGTCTGACCCAGTGCAGCCAGCTCCTGTCACTCCTAAAGATCAGCGTGCTGGGGCCGAGAGGGGGCAGGGCCCAGGTGATACACTGGCCACTTCCCTAGGGACCTCTCCTGGGACAGCGCCCCCCTGCTGGACCCTGCAGCCGCCAGCCCTCGCCAGTTTCTGGGGGATAGAGGCGCAGCGAGGCTCACCCTAGACCCCTGTCGTCACCGAGGGAAGCAGCTGAAACCACCCACCCGAGGCCCCATGCGCCCCCCTGGGCCCCACCCCACAGTGGCGGTGGCACAAAGCTGCAGCCCTGAGCCAAATGGCCCGGGGACTGGAGACCAGCCTGGCATATCCGGGGTGCAGCCGAGAGCAGCCAGCCCTCTCTGCCCCTTCCTCTGGCCCCTATAGCAGTCCACATTCCCCCAGAGCCCCGGGAGCCCCGGCTCCAGGGCCTCTTCTCGGGCAGCAGAAGGCAGAGGCAGGAACCAGCTGGCAGCCCAGTTCCCTCGCCGCAGAGCTGTGCTGAGGGTGAAGACGCGGGCCTGGCCAAGCACAGAGGGGCCCACATTGCCCTCCCCGGCCCCGCCTTCTGCCCTGCAGGATTCAGCACAGAGCAGGACCCCAGACCCAAGCTCCCTCCCTTTTAATTATTCAAGACAAGGTCTTACTAAGTCACTAAGCTACCTGAGCTGAGACTGCATTTGTGATCCTCCTGCCTCAGCCTCCCAGGACGATGGGATTATAGGAGTACACCCCTATGCTGGGCTTCTGTTTTTCTTGGATGAAACTTTTTTACACAAGAAACCAGATGCCTTACAGTCAAAACTAGTTTGCATTTTCCTACAGGTCCGTCCCCCCACCCCCCCGGCATCATTCTCCCTTTAGGTCGTTTTTTGCTGGGACAGCACGCGCACGTGGCTGCAGTGGTGCTGGCACTCACCATGACGTCCCCCTTCAGCAGCTGGGCTGGCTCTATGGCAATGCAGATCCTGCTCGGGCTGTCGGGGCCGATGTTGCTTTGGAATAAGCAAGAGGGAGCTCATTATGTGGTGTCACGGTGTCATGCACACGACACACGCTAAAAAGCACACATAAACTGAAAACTCAAGACATGATAGAAGTTTCACAGCCTCGCAGCCAATTTCTGAGAACTAGCTGGGTGGAAGTGCACCAAGACTCCTCTCTGCAGCGTCCTGGTCAGCTACCCCACCCCTGCCCCGCCCCACCCCCCTCACCCCTCCAAGGCCAGGGCAGGCCTGGCCCACTTACTAGATCCCCGACGTGTACACCGGCTGCATGGCCTGGTAGACCTTCAAGAAGGGCCGGCAGGCTGCAAGAGACAGGGCTACCTGAGCTCAGGTTCATAGCACACGGGGCGCCGCAGCCCAAGGCAGGGACAGCTGGCAGCCAAACGCAGGCCCAGGAGTTGCAAGACGACCCTGCTGAACCCGGGGTCACGGGGCTCTGAGAGGGGGCTGGGGGCACCCATGTGGTTCCGCAAGGAGCCGATCGGTTTTTCGCTCATTCACTCATCTGTGGCAGTACTGGGCTTGAACCCAGGCCCTTCCCACTAAGCCACATCCCCCATTTGTGTTTTTATTTTGAGACAAGGTCTCCCTCAGATGCCCCCTTTGGGCTTAATCTTGGTAACCCTCCTGCCTCAGCCTGTCAGAGTGCTAGGGTCACAGATGTGTGTCCCCACTACTCCTGGCAGGATGATTTTAAAGAGCAGCAGGAGCTGGGACCCTGGAGGGGAGTGGACGAGGCCACTCTGTGCACTCATGGAGCGTGGTGGGGGACAGCAGAGGGCCTAGCACCAGAAGGGGCCTAGAGTGGGCACGCCCAGGAGAATGGGAGTGTCTGCACTGAGGCCGCCAGGCAGTGACCCACCTCCACCGGTGTCGAAGTTCGGGGTACCGTGCAGCACGACGCTGTGCAGGAAGAGGGGCGCACCGCTCATCTTCACAGAGCCCAGCAGCAGGCCACCGAGGAACTGCACGTACCTGCGGAGGAGGCGCTCAGAGTCTAGCCCAGAGCCCAGCCCTGTGGGGCAGCAGCCACGCATACCAGGACCTGAACACAAGGCACACAGAGGCACCAGCAGCCTGTGCTCTGGGACCTTGCAGGCAGCAGGACCAGCCCCAGGCACAGCTGGCCATATCCGACCTGCAGCATGTGGCTGCCTTAATGTCCAGAAATGGGACCTTGCAGACCCCTATCACTCTACCCTGAGTATCTCCTGCTGGCTATGTCCAGCTCCAAGACAAGGCCACCAGGGCCCCATGGGGCAGCACAAGTGTGGCCGGGAGGGGACTTTCCCAGGCATGAGCACATGATTGCCAGGGTCCTCGCGGGGCCTGATGCCCAGCATCAGGGAACTGGAGCCAGACCTGGCCACATCCTTCTCCACAGCTTCAGGCCTCCCTCCCGAGGCCCCACCCAAGCTGGGGCTGCTCCTGCATCCCATCCATGCCTGGCTGCTCCTCCCTCAGGACCCCAAGGCAGCCAGCCACCTGGAGGAGGCCAGAAGTGACTGTGCCCAGCATAAGCGCCTCACAACCGCCTCGGAGTCCCTTTTGGACCAAGACCCATCCCATGCCACAGCAGTCACAAGGCCTGAACTTCCATAAGGACAAGTCTTCCCTGTACACTGAGGCTCCATCATGCCACTGAATTTGCAAGAGAAATGGGAGAAATTGGAAATTCATAAATAAAACCCTCAGAGCCTTTTAGGAAAAGCTTAGAAAACACGAGGAAGGACTGGAGCCCCTGCTTCCCGGTGCAAACCCATCAGAGAGGAACCTCACAAAAGCCTGAGCCCTGGTGCCCCGCAGGCCAGAGGCCATGGTCAGGCCACAGTGAATTCCTGCAGGGCCTAAGCTCAGAGGGGCCCCTCCAGGGCCCACCTTGCAGTTCCAGACCCAGGTGCCTGGAGTCCTACGACACAGCTGCTGCCCGTATCTGCCACACACAGCAGCTGGAAGGCAAGGGCCTTGAGTACAAAGCACGGGGCAACTTCCCCTCCCCCAAACAGAAAGCCATTCTGTAATTGCCCTGCCTGTTCCTGGAAAAATCTTGCTGCTTGGCTTAGAATAAACCTGCAAAGCTCCTAGGCTACAGGCCCCACGCCTCCACTGCAGAGGACTCACCCCTCCCCATCTAACTCAGGGGACAGGCCACAAAGGGCAGCACAAAGGTGCTGTAGGCCGGCACCTCCTGGGCAGCGTGTGGAACAGGAGAGAAGAGCTAGTGAGATCCAGCTCAGGACGCTACGCCTAAGATAGGAGCCCAGCCAATGGGCCCCTGTGTCCCTGTCTGTGTTGATAAAAGTTCTAGTAGGACACAGCTAGCCAGCTAGCTACATGTCACTCGCTTTCAGCAGCCAACAGGCATTCTGGTAAGAACCCCGGGGGACCTCAAGGTGGTAAAGCCAGTGGCATCAGAAGCACCATCCTCAGGCTTTGGGTCAGTGTCCCCGAGCGCCACCCAGCAGACAGAAACCATCACAGTACCCCTGGGTCGGCACTGTGGGGCTCCCACAGACACAAGGGTGCTCCCTTCCACCCTCATAGTCAAGGGCCTGTCCCAAGGGTGCTGCTGTTCTGGGTGCTATGGGGGCAAAGGAGGGACCCCACCCCATCCCCTCTACTCATAAAAATCCCATTGGCCACTCTGCTCTGGGGCCAAGATGAGAACCCACCATTTCTGGGATGGCTGCATCAACGCTGAGACTTTGTCATCATAAAACTTCTTCATCGCGAACCTGTCCAGGGCCTGGTCCGCACTGAGGAACACAGAGGGAGAAAGGGGGCTCAGCTCCATGGAGCTCCTGCCGCCACGGCACGGCTAGGTGGCCAGGACGTGCGTCCCCATCCAGAGACGACCACCCCAAGCCACTGTGTGCATTTGTCCCACTTCACAGCCCTCCTGGAATGCATCCTGATCTAAGAGGCAGTGGGATCTGGAGGGACACGCCTGTCATCTCAGCACTCAGAGGAGGCTGAGGCAGGAGAATCACAAGTTTGAGACCAGCCCAGGCAATTTAATAACCTGTCTCAAAATAAAAAGGGCTAGGAATGTAGCTCAGTGGGCTGGTCCTGGATTCTGTCCCCTAGTATCACACACCCAAGAAAAAAAAGGGTCACCCCTGCAGGCTCTGAACACATGGCGAGCTTCCCTCCCCCACAGGAGTCACTGAGGTGAGGTGCACACTGGGGCTGTGACTCAGACACTGGTGGACCCAGCCCCAGGACTGCAGGGTGCAGGGAGCGGGCCCAGAACGTGCCCCCAGCACCCACCCACAAGGCGCCAGGACACGGGTGTGGGCACTGCTGGGGTGTTCACTTCTGGGGTTCGGCTGGAGGATGCCTGGGAAGGGGCAGCCCGGGTGGGCAGGCAGGAGGGATAGAGTCCTTGGGGCCACACAACTCTCCTCTGACACGGACGTGAGAGCGACCCTGAGCCTGAGCGCCACTGTGCTGCTCAGGGTTCACGGAACCTCCCGCAGCCCCACTGGGGGGCGCTCCGTTGACCTTGGCTCTGAGCCCATCGGGAATCCTGGATCGGATCACGAGAGGGAGAAAGGGGAAAATCTGAGGTGTGAGCCAATCCTTAGAAAATGAGCATGCGCCCCTATAGGGAAAAAAAATAAGCTATATACAAGATTCACAGACACTCCGAAAAGATGAGGTCCACTCAAGCAGAGAAAGCCCTGGCGGCCTGATCCTGCGGGAAAGCTCGCAGCCGGTGGGAGGCAGTCGCAGGTGCTTGCATCACGGTCTCTGTGTCCTGAGCCTCATCAGCAGCCACGGAGGCGGGAGGCGAGAGGGCGCTGGGGCGTGAGAGGGCCACCTGAAGCCCCCACAGCAAAGCACTTCCGCCTCCCAGGTGCACCAAAAGGGGGCGCTGCCACCCACAGGGCGGGTGCTGGGGACCTCTGTGCAGGCCTTCAGGGCCACGGAGGGACTGGCAGGGCCAGGGTCCCCCACCTGTTTCGATTCTCACTGAGGGAGCAACTTCCACCCTGGGTTTCCAGAGGAAACAGCTAAAAATCGACTCGGCCCTTCCCACCAGGAGGAGGAGCAGGTGCGAATGCTGGCACGGGCTTCCAAGCCAGCCGGCTCACAATGGCTCTGAGGGGACCCAGCAGCTACAACGTGAAGCACAGGAAGCCTCCGTCCTTCCCCTTGCTGGAGGTCACGGGCTCAAATCCCAGTCTATTGCTGAGCTACACGTATTCCACAAGCCGGATCCAGATAAGCACACAGCCAGCTTCAGACCCACGCCTGGACCTGGGGCCCGGTGGCCACCGCACCTGCAGAAGGGCCCAGAGCTCTGCCAAAGAGCCCAATATCCCTGCGTCTGGTGCCCTTCCCACTGCGGGTGTGAGACCCAGAGCAAGCTGCCCAAGACGGGGCTCGGTTTCCTCATCTGGACAAGGGGAAGGTAACATCTGCCTCCAGGGCTAAGTGGGAGGAGTCCAGAAGAAAGTGTGGGCCGTCACCATGGCGCCCCACAGGAAGGAAGCCAGCCCACCCCGCCTACCGGCTCTCTGACTGCAGGAGGACCAGGCTCATTCCTTAGCACACTGGCGCTGCCCCACCCACTGCCAGCATCCCACCCGGAGGCTGGAGGGTCCTCTGCACAGCATACACGCCCTGCGGAGGCTGGGTTCAGGCGCAGCCTGCAGCGGCCCATCCTACCTGGCTGAGACGTTGGTGAAGTGCATGTAGGACGAGACGACCACTCCAATGCGACCTTTCCCGCCCTGCAGGGACAGAGAGGAGCAATGGTCTCCAAACCCAGAGGCCATCCACCCTGAGGATGCTCACCACGGTCCAGAAGGGACATGTGCAGTCCAGTGCACGGGGGCGTCACTGAGGAAGGGGAGCCAGGTACCAGCTAGCAAGGTGCTTCCTCCCTGACACCTGTGAGGAGCTTGTGTGGCTCTGCCACGGATCGCAGGCCATGGCGGCTGAGCTGTGGGGCCACGCCTTGCTCCATGACACGGGGCTCCCTGACTACTGCTGAGAGGGCGTGAATGAGCAAAGTCAAGTCAGGGTTCGGATGAACCGACAACCATCCTCATATGCCACTCCTCTCTGTCCTGGGGCACCTGGTCCACTTCAAGTCCTCTGCGGCTGCACCCTGGCATGCACAGTCACCAACTCACTGCAGAGCGTCTAACGTGTGCCTGGTGTGAAGTTACACTTGTTTTAAGAACCAAAGTTAGCCGGGCACAGTGTCGCATGCCTGTGATCCCAGCACTCAGGAGGCTGAGGCAGGAGAGTCACCCTGAGTTGGAAGGCTACAAAGCAAGGTCATGGCCAGCCTATGCTACTAGTGAAACCCTATCTGAAAAAAAAAAAAAAAAAAACACAGCAGTTCACCTACAAGAAAAGAGCCTAAACAGGACAGGTATGTGGCAGTATTCACCCACTGCTGCTATCTCCAGCTAGTTACTTTTGCAGCATTAGTTATGGATAAAGAAAATATCAAAGAGATTCTAGGGAAAAGACAGACAGCGATACAGTCATAGCAGAGACATCCATACCCGACTTTCACCAGTGGGAAAAGTGTCTCAACTCAAGATCCATCAAAAGGAAAAAAGCACCAAGCAGGACCTGCACCCTGGACCCCCTGACGTGCTTAGGACATGCAGCCCTCTCACGGGTCACGGGAGACTGCAGCATGGACCTCGCGTCAGGCCACAAACAGGCCCAGCAGAGGTAAGAAAGTGGCTCGTAGCCAGTCCCTCTGCTGATCGCCAGGAACTAAACCAGAAACCAATACTGGGAAGCTCAGGAAGATCACAAGTAACCGCTGGGTCAGAGAAGAAATTAAAGGAAGACAGCACGTAACAAGACATACGAAGACTAATGGGGGTGCACACGGGGGTGCAGCTCATCAGCACAAGCACCTGCCGGGAAAGTGCAAGGTCCTGAGCTCCTAAAATTTATAGGGACAGGGCAAAGACAGTTCTGAAAGGGAAGTTTACAGTAATAAACATCTATAGCCCAGAAGAAGAGAGACGAAAGATAGCCTCACTTTATTTTATTTCATTTTTTCATTTGTGTATTTGGTACCGGGTCTCACTATGCAGCTCGGTATAGTGATCTTCCTATTTTCAGTGTCCCCAGCGCTGGGATTACAGGTGTGTACCACCATGCCCAGACTGTCACTGGTTCAGCATGCCCCATGGGCAGGGCCGGCACGACACGTGGAACTGGGGATCGAATCTTGGTCCATGCGCTTGCCAAACGGCACTTAGTCCACTGAGCTATCTCACCAGCCCATCAATTCATATCTCGAGGCACCGAACGCAGCCCAAAGAGAAAAGCAGCAGCATTAGAGAAATAACAAAGCTCAGAGCAAAACAAGCTAGAGACCCAGAAAACAACAGAAAAGATCAGTAATATCAAGAATTGTTGGAGCTGGAGAGATGGCTCAGTGGTCTAAAGCACCTACTTGAAACAAGCTTGGCAAAGCACGGGGACCTCAGTTCGATCCTCCAGCACCACATGCCAGCCAGCCCCACGCCCTGGTGGGCTGAGCTGGCCACACACACATACACAATAAATAAATGTAATAAATAAAAGTAAATAAATATTTTAAAAAAATTGTTTTTAAACAAAGTCAACAAAACTGATGAGGCTTTCATGATACCCACCAAGAGAAAACTCAGATGAAAACAAAGGAAAGGGGACAGTAATGCGAAGGGCCAGCAAAGCCTGCAACAGACAGCTGCACTCCAGAGCTAATGGGACAGCCTAGAAGACCAGACCAATTCCTAAACACACACACACAGCCAAGATGCCACCAAGAGCGCAGGAAGGAGACTGACTGAATAATAAAAAGTCTCTCAAAGAAGAGAAGACCAGACAGCTTCAGGGATCAATTTTAACAGCCACAACGGTGGCCTCAGTTCTTGTCAGCCTCTTCCAAAATCAGAAGAAGAAGGAAAACTTCTGCCCGGCTCCTTTTGCAGGGACAGTGCCCCACTGATACAGGGTTCCTTCTTTTTCGTTTCCCCAGTTTTCTTCCTATGAGGTCTGTACTTGTGGGACCTGGCCCTGGCAGGGAGCGGACACATGATCAGGACAAGGCTCGATCTGTTGGTGTCCCCTTCCCCTTTCAACCTTTGTCCTTGAAGGAGCCAGGGGTTGGTGTTTCAGGGCTGCCACCCTCTGGCAGCTTGCTGCAAGCTCTCAGCCCACACGGTTATCCATAAAAATCATGGGAGCTCACCTGCCATCGCAGCACTCAGAAAGCTGAGGCAGAAGCATCACCCTGAGTTCAAGGCTAGCCTGGACTACAGAAATCACCAAAAACTGTTCTTCACCTAACAACAACCCAGAGCCCGCAGCTTGTGGGGCACCATGCGGCCAAGTCGGCTCTTCCTGTGGTCTTTTCCCTCAAGCAGTGTCTTTAGGGCTTGGACGGTTCTGGTCTAATCTGAGCAAGCCGCAGAATCACTGACCCCACAAGCCTATGTGTACTGGTCACCGGGACTCCAGGGAAGAGGGCGATGAGGGTCGAAGGCAGGAAAGCAGGGCTATGGGAAGGAGGTCGAGCCACTCAGCAACGCCCATAGGACAGGCAGGGAGGGGCACGATCCTGCCCAGCTCTGCAGGGGAGCCCGCCCGGTGCGCAGAGGCCTGGGCATTCTGCAGAGCCAGCACATTCCAGCCCACATCAGCGATTCTGCCCCATCGTCCACCTCAGCAATGACACAGTGACAGCCTGGCTCTAGGCCACATTCCTGAACACGGCGCTCCATGTACATGGCCCTGGGTGGTCGCCGGGTAGTCTACCTTTCCCTTAAGTTCTGAGGGAGTCAGGGGCACATGGCCCAGAGTGGCTTAGAAAATGGACACTGCGTAGATCTCTGGGTGGCAGTGTCAGCCCTGAACCCCCACCTGCCCAAACAATATTAAAACTCATCATCTAAAAACTAAAGGGGACAGGCCAGGTGTGGTGGTGCACGCCTGTAATCCCAGCACTCGAGAGGCTGAGGCAGGGGGATCAATGCAAGTTGAAGGCCAGCCTGGGCTACAAAGTGAGTTCAAGGCCAGCCTGAGCTGCATAGTGAAACCCTACCTCAGAAAGAAATCAATAAATAAACAAATAGTAAATAAAAACTGAAGGGGAGAAACCAAGGGAAGAGGAAGGAGTAAAGACAACCAAGATGTGACAGGTACAAGACGCCAAGATGGACAGAAGCACGACGTGCTGTGATATACCGAATGGAGTAGCCCTCGGCCCTCAAGGAGGACAATCGAGTCAGCTGCAGGAAACGGCTGCCCCTTGAAACCGATACTGAATGAAACAAATTAGACACAGAAGGTTGCTTGTGGCGTTTCTCTTACACGAGAAGGCCATGTAAATAACTAAAGAGCAAAATTAAAGACAAGTACAGGGCTGGAGGGCTAGCTCAGCGGTCTCAGTGCCTGCCTGGCAAGCACAAGGACACGGGTTCGATCCTCGATGCCACATGCAATGCCTGTGCCAGCCACCGAGTCCGGGCTTGGCTGTGCAATCCCACCACGCTGTAATCCCAGCGCTGGGGAGGCTGAGACAGGAAGATCACTACGAGTCCAAGCTGCATAGTGAGACCCTATAGCAAATAAATAAATGAATAATTTTTTTTTAAATTTTAAAAATTTTTAAAAATTTTAATGGGGAGGTGGCTCAGTAGAATAAGCGCTTACCTGGCAAGTGCAAGGGCCTGAGTTCAATCCCTGGTTCCACCAAAAATAAAAAAATAAAAAAAAGACAAATCTAACGGGCCAGGGAGATGGCTCAATAGAATAAGTGCTTCCCCAGCAAGCGCAAGGGCCGGCGTTCAATCCCCAGTTCCGACAAAAAAAAAAAAAAAGACAAATCTAGGAAATAGGGCAGGAGACCTTGGAGATGGGAGGGGATCTGGGACAGAGGAGACAGAAGGGAGAGGAGAGATGCGGTGTCATGTGCGCAGCTTCTGAGATGGACAGTCATGGTGTACTGCAGATCCGTACCAACAGACACATAAAACAGACTGAAAGAATGCATGCATATACAAGCCAATATTTACACCAGGCACTGACCACTACGGCTTAAAATTATGCTTTTTCTAAAAACTAAAATGAGTGACCCAGCAATCTATGAGGTGCACATGGAAGAAACCCACAAGCACAGCTAACCCACAGTGCGTGTGAACAGCAAGGGAGAGTGCCGCACTGCGCTGGTCAGCACTCAGCTTTGGCGGGAGGAACATGTCCAAGGCCAGCCCTGAGGGCCAGAGAGCCACCTGGGGCTCCGCCCACCACCCTTGGCCCCGCCCACCGCCCTCGGCCCCGCCCACTATCTTGGGTCCTCAGCTAAGGCAGGAGCAGGGCTCACCCTGCAGTGGATGACCACCACGTGCTGTGGGTCGCTGTTCAGCCAGGACTCCTGCGCCTTGCAAATCGTGCACATCTTGTCCAGCGGCGGAGCGTGCAGCTCTGGCCAGCCCACATCCATGATCTGCAAAGAGAGACAACCCTTCCTTGGTTTCCCTCTGAAGACACCCTCGCAGCCCACAGCCCCCTCATGCTGGCTTTTCTTTCCTTTCTTCTTTTTTTTGTGGAACTGGGGATTGAACTCAGGCCCTTGCGCTTGCCAGGGAAGCACTTATTCCATTGCGCCATCTCCCTGGCCCCTTGCTTTTCTTAACTGACATGAGGACACCACCAGGACACCAGGGCCCTTCCCTGGGCAGATTTTTATCTGTAACACATGGGATGGAGTCTGTTTTAGATTCCAGGGGTTTGGAACTTTGGAGTACTTGCAAAGACTCTTCCTTAGCATCCCTAATCGAAATAACCCTGAAATTAGGAAAAAATAAAATAGAAAAAAGCTGGGCATGGTGGCACATGCCACTAATCCCAGCCCCTGGGAAGCTGAAGCAGTAGGATTGCCTGCGTTCAGGCCCCACTACAGAATGAGATCCTGTCTGAAAGAAAGAAAGAAAGAAAGAAAGAGAGAGAGAGAGAGAGAGAGAGAGAGAGAGAGAGAGAGAGAGAGAGAGGAAAGGAAAGGGAAGGAAAGAAAGAAAGAAAGAAAGAAAGAAAGAAAGAAAGAAAGAAAGAGAAATTGCAAACGCTCTAAAATCTACAACTTTTGCATCATGTCCATGCTCCAAAAATTCAGACTGCAGAGAGCTGTGGCCTTGGGCCACAGCACTGCAGGTGTGCCTGCTGTATTTTTTATTCCAATAGCTGCAAAGGATTCCAACATGACGTTCCAGTGTACGCACTATTCCAACACATGTACCATGTTTCCACGTACATGGCATGGGGGGGAGGTGTACCACAATTTCCTCTAAATCTTTCTACTGAAAGTAATTATGGAGGCTGGGGGACAGCTCAGTGGCATAAGCGCCTGCTTGGTAAGCGCAAGGTCCTGAGTCTGATCTCAGGTACCACAAAAAGGGGAAAGAAATGAAGAGTAATTACAGACCTAGAAGCAACCGTGACCACAGAGGGGCAGCAGAAAAAAGACCCATGCAGGAGGGACCCCCAGGTGTCCTCCACGTGATCGTGGTGCTTATGCAAATCTGTACACAAGAAATGGCATGCACACGTGCGTACACACACACACACACACACACACACACACACACGGTGCATCTGAAAGGAGTGGCAGGAGCATGAGCTCCTCAGGGGCACCAATGTCACCCTCCAGGCGCTAACAGCAGACTGTAGAATATCTGAGGGACAGTCCACACAAGAAATTCACTCCCAGACCCCCACCCGACCCCCCAGCCCGGAGGCCTACAGGCAGCTCCACAGGCTGCTGTCAATGGCCTTGCGCAGGAAGCAGTTTCCTTCACTGCTCCACACTGTGACGCGCGTCAGACTTGAGACTTTCTGCTGTAGGGTGCTCAGCCTGCATTTAGGCTCGAGGCACCCGGGGCCTCTCTGCTGACACTGCAACCCTGTAATCATTTCAAACTAAAAAGTTTATTAATTTTAAAAAATCCCAGCTGGGTATGCTGGTGCCCACCTATAATCCTACATTCTGGCAGACTGAGGCAGGGAAACGACAGGTTTGGCCCCAACACACACACACACACACACACACAAAATCCCATACCACATTCCTGATATCCATACCAAATAACACGCCCCAAAACCTAGAACAAACCCCTCGTGTACAAGCGGAGCAAACACTGCTTACATTTTACGAAACTCGGAATATCAAGGAATAAAGTGCTCACCTTTGGGTTAAGCTTCGCAAGGTCAAATCTCTTCTCTGACAGGTTCAATACCTACAAGGAAGAGCAGGTTTCAGATGAATATCAGCTCATATGGAAAAGCCACAACCACCTTTGACGACGTGCACAGACCTGTACCTCCTCAGAGAACACAAACCAAGCTGAAAATGCCGCCCGGATCCTCGTAAGTCCAACCTACGGGCTAATTCTACTGTTGTTATCCAGGGTAAAGCCAGCGATTTACCATGTTATTGTTTCTTCTACTCTACTGGCTATAAAATATCCCAGCACACAGGGCACAGGCTACATACACACAGCCCTGCTCTCCTGGTCCTGCTTAGGAGGTCGGAGGTAGGAGGTGAACTCGGGGGAGGGCAGCCTCTCCTCCTCAGTACGGAGAGAGGTGGTGTACACACTCGTAATCCCAGCGCTCAGGAGGCTGAGGCAGGAGGTTCACCGTGAGTTCCAGGCCAGCCTGGGCTACATAGTGAGTTCAAGGCCAGCCTGAACTGCACAGAGCTCAGAACAACTCTCTGCAGTACAAGGCACGCTGCTGTGAAGCCCTCGCGATCCTCTCCCTCACTGCAAACACCCTGTCACCCGGGCCACTTTCTGAGTCCTCCGTCCTGAGGGTCTCCAGCTGTGCCACCCTGGCTGCCTCAATGTCCTGAACGGACACAAAATGTTTCCCCTCCGTGGTTATCTTGGCAAAGTCACAGGCGCCGCTCCGGTGACAGGTGGTCAAGGCCAGGGCGCCGGGTTTCTACAAGCTGCCCTTCTGTTGGGCGGCACTCGGCAACAGCATCACTGCATGCTGATCACGCCTCATAAGGACGCTCTGCTTTGCTGAGAGAGCTGCATCCAAAAGCGACAAGAGCCCTGGATGAATGCATGACTTTTGCGAGGCTCTTCGGAGGAAGCTCCTGGCAGCTTTTATTGTAACGAACACCACAGATCTCTATCACCCCTCGTACGTGGCAGCCCCAACCAGAGACAAAGCTCCTGACCCGGCCGACGTGAGCCTCCCCCAAACTCACAAAAAAGTCAGAGCAGCGACAGGCTCTTGCTAAAGACTCAGTAGGGGCCGGGGAGATAGCTCGGTGGTCTAAGCACCTGCTTGGCAAGCGTTTGATCCCCGGTACCACATGCCATGGTGGCCCTGTGCATGCCTGTAATCCCAACAATGGGGAGGCTGAGACAGGAGGATCACCACAAGTCCAAGCTGCGTAGTGAGACTCTGTACCAAGTAAACAAATAAATCATTTTTTTTTTAATTAAAGACTCAGTAAAATGACAGTGGGAAAAAGACCATGTGCCTGCAGCCAGCACCTTCAGAGACCAGGCTAGGGAGTTAGGGCTCAGGGCAGCCCCCCAGTCCTGCCCTTAACAGTGGGTGGCCTCCCCTGAGGTTCGTGGCTCAGTTTTAGCCACAGCCCCGCTGCCTCCTGGGCCTGCTTGGTGTCAACTGCAAGCATCAACAGGGACACAGGTGGCCCCTCCAGCAGGTCAGATCTAGCGTCCCCAGCAGTATGCATGCGTGGAAGGCATTCATGGGGACGCATGACATCACGGCTGAGTGTGCTGCAGGGGCCTGGTTGGAGGAGGTCGTTGGGGTGACTAGGATGATGGGTCCTTGTCCCCTGCTCCTTCCTCTCCCTGCTTCTTGTCTGCCACGTGCTGCACGTTTCCCTTCGCCAGGCCTCTCTGCCTTAGAACCAGCTGATTATCTCAGTTACTTTTTATTTGTTGCTGGGACAAAATACCTGACATCCAAAATTCAGGAAGGAAAGGTTTATTATTTAGCTCACAGTTTGAGGAGGTTTCAGTCTATACTCCACTGGCTCCCAGGCAGAGCAGTACTGGGCCAGGAGCAGCAACAGGAAACAGAAGAGCGAAGGGATGGGCAGCAGCGGCGGCTTCCAGTAAGCCTCTCGCCCCTCCTTATATTATTTATAAACCAGCTACCCTGGGGCTGGGGGTGCAGAACTCACACAGTGTCCACGCCCTCCTCTTACACAGGATGAGGATGTTTACAAGCTAAAAACCCTGGCTCCCTGCTGAGTCACTTAATTAAACCTCTAAACTCAAGTTGACACAATGTATCAACCAGTACAAACGGACTGAATTCTATGAAGCTGCAGCATAAGGCGTTGTGTCCCAGTGATGGGACAGTGGCCAGCACAGTCCCTCTGTGACAGGACAGGGGGCTGGGCCACCTCTTTCTGTCCACAGCACGTCACAACTAGGAAGGGCTACAGGGCCAAAGGGGCAGACCTGAGGGTAGGGACTGTGCAGGAAGCCTCAGGACCCGGCTAGGTCCCCTGCAGCTGGACACAGGCCCCCTGCGTGTGGGGTGAAGCAAGTAACAAGGTGACAGCATCCTCCCTGTTGCTCCCACCATAAGGGACAAGTGCAAGTTGTGAGGGAGCCGCAGGGATCCCTGAGCAGCAGGAAAGGGAGGTTCCACAGGGGCCAGGGACAGAGGCCAGGCCAGGCAGCGAGGGACAGCGCCATCCTCCTCTGCAGTCCCTGGCGCTGGCAAGGAGCTGCCTTATGCCCCTGGGCCACCGTGTGTCCCTGTGCGGGTCTTCCCCATGCCCAGTCCGGCCAGGGAGGCCACGTGGCAAGTCCCCAGCTTTCCTGGGCAGTCAGGGACCCACTTGGACACCCGCCACTCACCAGGTAGTTGTCCCCGTGCTTGGACTTGAGCATGCGTGTGACCTCCTGCAGGCTATGCAGGTAGGACTCCTCGGAGCAGCCCGCAGGGAAGGACAAGGCGATGATGCGCTCTGTGATGTAGGTGAGGTCCAGCTGGTGGCCGTCCGCCATGGCGGAGCTCAGAGCCACGGGCCTGTGGAGACGAGGGGTCCATTAGCCAAGGGCACAAGGGAAAGGAGACAGCGGTCACCCACCATCACACAAGGACCCGAGAGACAGCACCCTGGTCACTGACCACGGCACATCAGCCCCACTGTGCTCCACTCCTTGGAGGGCACCGATATACCTCAGCTCATGTCCAGAAAACAGACACTTGATTACTGGGGTTCAAATGAAATCAGCGTGGGGCAGAACCTTTGCCTGCCACCTCAGGGGACCTGGTTCCACACCCAGCACCACAGCATCCGCCCCAAGCCCTCTCCCTGGAAATCCACCCACAGCCAGGGACATGGCGACACAAGATGTCGGGGACACTCACCGCGCGGGCTTCTCACAGCAGACGGGACCCGGCGGCACGGAGCTAGCAGGTGTCTGCAAAGAACAAGACTGGAGTCACTCTGGGGCTTCCGGCTGTGCTGGTCCACGCAGCCCTCGTCACAGCCTGAGGACCGCAGACAGCTGTGCCGCAGAGATCTGTCAGCCGTAGTGAACCAAGCACTGCCGCTATCCGTCCCTCTCACCACCTGGGGACTCCAGGCCTCTGGGAGGCTGAGGCAGGAGGATTCCTGTGCAATTTAGACTCCACAGTGAGTTCAAGGCCAGTCTGAGGACACAATGAAACTTTCCAAAGTGTAAAACCAAATGAAACAACAAGACCTTTAAGGGAATGATTGGGAAAGGGGTGTGGCAGAGGGTACCAAGAAGGCCAGGATTTGTGGCAGCTCAGGGACTCCAGTCACACCAGCAGGGGTCCCCAGCCACGCTTGACCCAGGGCACCTCAAAGCCCACTTCCCAAAGTGACCATATCTCCCCAAGGACTGGTTGCTACGAGTTACCCCATCAGCAGGATGAACGCACGGGTGGATAAATGAGGGCCAGGGAACCCCACCCCACCAGCATGAGCCCCAAACGTAGCTGCCCCTCCATACAGTGGGTGGGCCGGAGGCTCGGGCCACAGCCAGCGGTCAGCTCTGAGCCTTGCTGACGCACACTGGCCTCCACGGCTCCCATGTCTCGTCTTCAGGCCGGGCGCAGGAAGCTGCTTCTGGCCGTCAGCTGCTGTCCGTCCAGGCCCGGGGAACTAACACATCTCAGGTGGGGTCTCCTGCAACTCAGGCCCACACGGGTGCACTCGGCTTAGCGAAACTGGGCGGTTAGGGCTGCAGGTCCGCCTGCCCGGCTGGGACCTGCCCAGGATGGAATGGAGCTCGCTTCCAGGTGCCCTTGGCGGGTCTGGGAGGTGAGCCCCGGGGCTGCATCCAGCCCCAGCCACTTCCGCTGCCACTGCCCCTGCTCTGCGTCCAGGCCGCCATGGCAGCAGCTCTGCCTCTCCTCGCCCTTCCTTACAGCTGCCTGAGGGTGGACTGAACAGTCTTAACGCGTGAGCCAAATAAACCGCTCCTAAGCTGTGTGTGCTGGGATCCTGTCCTGGCGACTAGAAAGCTCAAACTGAAAGATTCCTCCACGTCAAGAATCGTTTCCTACGTCAGCATCTGAGCAACCCTGGGTCACAACTGAACCGGGCCTGGTCTCTGGATAGTGCCACCTGACGGGACCACGCAACCGTACTCAGCTACCAGGGCCACACGGCAACCATAGCTGTGGCCTGAGCACCTTCGTCCCCACACCTGGGGCTACCGCTCACTGGGAGGAGCGGGGGTATGTGGCCACAGAGGGCATTTAAGAAGTGACAGTGCTGCTGTCTGCACTCGTTCAAATTGCACACACAGCCAAGGAAAATTCTTCAATCAAGAACCCTGGGATTCCCAAGGCTGGGATGCAGAGGAGGACACGTAGCAGGTGTGTGGTGCCCACAGGAAGCTCCATACCTGGGCAGGTGGGGCGGACAGCACCCTCCCTGCGGAGGCTCAGCAGCACAGGCCCTGTGTGACCTCTGGCCACGCTGGCCGCTGGCTCTGGGGACCACCCGGCCTAGGGACCCCTTTCTGCACCTCCATTCAAGCAGCAGGGGCACACAGGGACCTGGCCCGCCCTCTCCCAGAACCCACTTGCTGTGTATGTCTATAGCAGCTAAACAACAAGGCAAGACCCAGGACGAGGCAGTTCACCCTGCAGGCCCCAGAGGGCCTCTGCCTGCACATGCCACAGTCCCAGGTTGGTGGCAGGCAGACGAGGAGCTTTTGGGGTTCTGCGGAGAGGCACTATGCCCCCCAAAGCCCCGCACAGCCCAGGGCAACAGCACTAGGCAGCCTGCCAAAGGCAATCGGGGAGGTCTAGCCACCAGGGCGCCGGGCGCTCTTTTTGCCCTAGACCAGCAACCCTGAAGGCTAAGGAGGCCCCAACTTCCCAGGCTGTCAGAACCGGGCAGTCGGCAGGGCTCAGTGTCCACTACCCAGGGGAAGGGCCAGGGCTGTTACGAGCCTCGGTGGTGGCAGCTGAGATAGGGGACTGCGATGCCCTGTCAGGACATTAGGCAGAAAGATGCAGGTCCAGGGCAGCCTGGCCAGGACATGGGGACGTGCAGCTGTTACCCACCTCTGCGGTGTCTCACCCTGATGCGTCGCCCCTCTTTCTTGGGGCCACATGAAGCCAAGCAGAAGGGGCCACCGGCTGGTTCCAGCCTTCGCACTGCCATGAGGAAACAGGGACACGGGTCCCCTCACCGAGTACCGCCTCCTGAGACTTCAATAGCCAGCAACAGTCACTGCCTGGAAACCTCCCGTGGAAAATTCCAGACAAAAACAACGCCAAGGCCACGTCACAGTAGTGCCGTCACTCACCCTCCTCACCTCACTGGGGACACAGCACCGTCCCACATGATCGATCGGGAGAAGCAGGCTGAGCCTAGGGCACTGGAGACCACACTCACAACACTGACGACCGTGAGCTGCGGCGCTCGGTGCTCTCTGTGGTACTGTTGTCAGTCTTGGCTGTTTTCAGAGATTATGCCAGGGCTTTCACACGAAGCTACATCCTCAGACCTTTCTATTTATTTTATTTTGAGATAGGGTCTCACTAGATGGCTCAGGCTGGACTGGAATTTGAGATCCTCCTGCCTCAGCCTACCAGCATGTGGACAAGGCTGCACTGCCACACCCGGCTTACTGTTACTTCTTCCTGTGTCTACCTTGTAAAGCAAACTTCACCACAGGTCCGCAGGTATGAGTAAATGTACTACTTGTAGGGTCTTATGCCAGGATTGTGTCCCTGGCTGGAGGTCTGGAGACACACAGGGGACAACTGGAGGATCTGGGCCAGTCACTATCTACTCTACAGTGACAGAATCTAGGCCTACGAGGAGTCACACTTCTGAGTCTCCCAGGACTCTGCTTTCCGGCAGCTGTCCCTGAGCGCTGGAACCTCTCGTCCGTCCCGTAGGCAACTGGAAAAAGCCTTATTCAAACACCACCCAGGTGTGCAGGCCTGGAATCTCAGCCCCAGAGAGGCTGAGGCAAGAGGATCTCCACAAGTTCAAGGACAGCCTGGGCTACAATAGGGAAACCTTGCCTCAGAAAGGGAAGGGAAGAGAGGAAAGGGGAGGGGGGAAGGCAAGGGGATGACTTAGTGCAAAGCTGTCTCAAAATAAGACATAAAGCTGGGGGTGCAGCTCAGTGTGTGAGCCCTGAGTTCAGTGGGGTCCTGGAAAAATAGTAAAACTGAAGCTGCCAGGCAACAACCCTACAGCCCCTGCTGGCTTCCCTCACTGCCGCAGGGATTCTCAGAGGATATAAGCCACAGGCTCTGGAACCCCAGAGCCCCAGTGAAGCCTGCTTTGCGCTGGCCACACCCCCTGCTGGAGTTTCCTTATCTTCAAAAGCAGTGTGGTGGCCACCCTGAAAGGGGGAAGCCCTGAGGACCCTCATAGGGGTGCCAGCCTCCGCAAACGCATCTCCTGGAACCCACAGCCACGCTGCCCACGCTGACAGCGGCAGGAAGTGCTCAGAGAGGGCCAGCAACCCTCAGCAGGAGCACAGCACAGAGGCCAGAGGGCGAGCGAGAAGAAACCAGCTGTCACTGGGATCGCGGAGGGCGCGCAGTGTTCACCGCCCTCAGACGCAGCCGCCGCAGGGGTGGAACTGCAGATAAAGCGCCCACGCGCGGAACTCGAGGAAGCAGTGTCACTCTGGGCACTTTCCGGGGCCGGTGGCTGGACTGTGAGGATGGCAGGCAGGGCTGGCTGCTGGGAGCCATATGGCAGCAGGGGACCCAGGCGGCACAGGCCTTGCGCTCAGGACACAGGCGCCCTCCTGGGGCGGACTAAGGAAGCCGAGGCCCGAGGGCGTGGGCGGGGTGCACTCACCGAGCTCCACTGTGGGGACTTCTCAGCTCCAGGTGCCCACAGCTCCTCCACCTGCCCCCAACTGCGCGGTGCTCAGCGTGTGTGCCCTGCAAGCCGGTGGGACTGAAGACGAGGGGGTCAGGTGGGGGCTCCCTGTGCAGGACCCCGCAGGGAGGGCCACCAGCAGACAGCCAGCAGGCAGCAGGTATAGCCACAGGGCCCTGGCCGGGGCCTGCAGAAGCGGACGGCAGACCAGGAAGCCGCGCCGTGTCCTTCCTGGGCCCTGGCCAGCTGCCCAGGGCTCCCTAGCAGAAGCCTCCGGCTGGGGTGAAGGCGGAGCAGCCTACCTCCCCACTCCCACCGCTTCTTCCCATAGTTTCTTTTTCCTGCACCTCATTCCAAACATAATTTCAAATGTCCAGGAATCTGATCCAATTCCTCGAATTTTAAAAAATGAGAACAAACCACCAAGCCAGGTTCGGTGCTGCACGCATCTGCCATCCCAGCACTCTGGGAGGCTGAGGTAGGAGGATCGCAGGTTCAAACACAGTCTAGGTCAGGGCTGGTGAGATGGCTCAGTGGTCTAAAGCACCTACTTTGAACAAGCAAAGCTCAAGCAAAGCACAGGGACCTCGGTTCAATCCCCCAGCAATCCCCCAGCACCACCCTGCCCCCTGGTGGGCTGAGCTGGCCACACACTAAATAAATAAATAAATATTTAAAAAAAATCTCTAAAAAAAGAAAATGTTTAAAAAAAAAAAAAAAAAAACCAAACACAGCCTAGGAAACTTAGGAACTGACTGACAGTCTCAAAAACAGAAACAAAAAGGGCTGGGGGTTATAGCCCAGCACCAGGGCTCTGGGTTTGGTCCCTGGAACCACCGCCTGCGGCCCAACCTCTGCAGGTGCTTGACCGGTTCCCAGCTTCCTGCACTGCCAGACACAAAGCAGTCTGTGGCTGGATGTGGGACAGCAGTCATCGTGAAGGTCACCCAACCTGTCAGACGCAGCTCCATGTCACTTCACACTCGGGGGTGACAGGAAAGGCGTGGTCCTGGGCAGCCAGCCAGGACACCCACTCCGAGCCCTCTGTGGTCACCCACACCCTGCAGCTTTCTGCCCTGGACTTGC